CTCTGTGCTACCACTTACAGTTCTCAGAACAAACTCCAAACTCTTTCTGGTACCACTTTTCAGGGCACCAGATGCTCTGCCTATGGTCTTCAGGCCACAGCTACAGCACCCTTTCTCTATTCTTCCGTAGTGTTAGTTTCCCTGCAGTCTCTGGTCCCTCTGCATAGAACACTCCTTGTGGGTCTCCTGAGAGTTTCTTTTCTTCTTCTCACATTTCCTTTGTCCCTCTCAAGGGTATAGTGAATTCTAAGAGTCTTCTTACTGTGCCCACACCAGTGGACAGCTGTTGTCCTGTGGAAGACTGTCTAAAAGACAAGCCTTGAGAACAAAGGAGCAGAGAGAGAGAATGAGGCTAGGCTCATGTGAAAATATACCAAGTGTTTGTTGCTGTGAATACAAGCAGGCTAGTTTTGTTTAGGAGCTGACAGTAGTGATGCAAGTTAGGATTCCAACCTCCCACAGATGGGCCTGGAAGTCCCCACTCTTCTGGTAATTACATTTCAGAGGAAGGATCTGGAGTGGGTCCTTGGAAAGACACTCCTGGTTTGTAGGTGACACAGTCTAAGCATCTCACAGATCAGAGAAGTCACATTTATAAACCCATTTTGTAAAGGATCCAAAAAAGGGTGGTCTGGGGTCTGTCTCAGGTATAGGTAGAAACAAATAATTCTTTCCACAGTCTTGAGTTGTTCAGAAAGGAACTCAAAGGAAGGCTAATTGTCCTAGGGACAACGCCTTAGACTGTTAACAGTTATGTTAAAGTTTAGTATAAACTTTAGTATAATTTTGTGGAGAATATATTGTATACATTATATGTATATATTGTATGTATACTATAGTATATTATATATTTTATGTAAATATATACTATATATATATACAATATAGGTATTGCATATATTGCCCTTACAAGCACATCTCTATACCTCATCCCCAATGACTATGTATTTATTTACAGTTTCCATTTGTTCCCTTTGAATAAAATTTAGGGAGACACTGTTTGTGTGTGTCTTGATCTTATAATCTTGAGACTTTGCTAAAAATAGTCATTATTGTTTGTCTTCTAACACTCCTTATACATTTTCTCTGAATTTTCTACATTAATCATGTATAACATATTTCAGTGATATTTGTTCTTTTTTGATCAATTATTATTGTTTCTTCTTGGGGAGGGAACCATCGATTTGAACTCAGGGCCTTGGGCTTACTAGACAGTTACTCTACCAGTTGAGTCACACTTCTATCCTGATAGCTTTAGGTCGTTTATCACATAAGGGGTTGCTTTCTGCCCAAGCCGCCTGCAACTGAAATGCTCCTAACTTCCCTCATGCAGTTTCTTTGAGCAGCAGTGCTTCTGTTCTCCACTTGGTAGGCTTATAGTCTGAGCTACCACACTTGGGTGTGTTTAGATCTTTTTCTTCCTATACTGGATAGACTAGCCCCAACAACAGTAAGTTGAAAATGAGAGGGGGTTAGATAGCCTAGCCTTGGATTTAAACGGAAGGAAGAGCATACATTCTTTTATCAATAAATATCTGTTATAGGTTTTCTTTACATGTTTTTCATTAACTTGAAATAGTGCTATCTTCCTTAGTTAACAGAAAGTTTTTATCATTCATGTATGTAGAGGTTCATGTGAATAGTGACTTTTCTGCATAAATGAATGTGAACATTTACTGTATTTTCCATTATACTTTTAATAAGGTGGTTTAAATTTGAATCCATCCATTATAATGAACCAAGAGGCAGAATAGGAGGGAAATGGAAAAGGTTTAGAGTGTGCTCTACCCCTTGAGCTACACCTCCATTTTCAGATTTTTGGGGGGTAATTGGAGAGAGACTTTTCTGCAAGGGCTGACTTTGGACCTGGATCCTTAGATGCCATCCACCTGATTATAGGCATGAGCCACCAGTGCCTGGCTGGGTACAACAATCCTATGCAAAAGTGATAACATTGACTAAACTTACCACAAGACAATGTTTTATTTCATGGATTGTTACTTTTCTCTTTTACATTTTATATTTTTGTGTTCTATTACTCCATACTTTCATATTTTAGTTATATTTGGATCTTCAATTTCAACTATTCTGGTGGATATGCTGTGAATGTTTGGGCATCTCCTATCTGGCTTTGATGGCAATTCTGTGGTCCCAGTGGCATGTGTTGGATTGTGTGCTTTCTACTTACAAATTTCTTCAGCACAATATGAAGGGAGAGAACCTGCATTTTGTCTGTTTGACACTAGCAGACTACAAGGAGTAAAACTAAGAAAAACCTTAGAGTCTTCTGGCTTTTGATAAAGCCAATAACTCAAGAGGCAGAATGAGGAAAAGGCTTTTGAATGTGTTGTAACTTTAGAATTAGAACTTAGGAGCTTATCCTTGCTAGGCAAGTGCTCTGCTGCTCTAGCCATAAACTGCATATTTTTTGTTAGTGATCCTTTTTTTTTTTTTTTTGTCGGTCGTGGGGCTTGAACTCTGGGCCTGGGCGCTGTCCCTCAGCTCTTCAGCTCAAGGCGAGCGCTCTACCACTTGAGCTACAGCGCCACTTCTGGTTTTCTGGTGGTTTATTGGAGATAGGAGTCTCACGGTCTCTCCTGCCCGGGCTGGCTTTGAACCGCGATCCTCAGATCTCAGCCTCCTGAGTAGCTAGGATTACAGGCGTGAGCCACCAGCGCCCAGCTAGTGATCCTTTTTATGTTGCTGCTGTTGTTGTTGTTCATATTCTATCTTGGTGATTTTCTTGGAGTTCACACCTTCTCTCCTACCTCTGCCTTTCAAGTTGTTGGGAAAACAGATGTGCACCACCACACAAGGAAGAAAAATATTCATTGACTGGAGAAGAAATGTGTAAGTGTGATCTCCTACTCAGAAATCATACTCTCTACTCAGACAACCTGCTGAATCACAAATTCAGAATAAAAATAAAGAGATAGGCTAGTGAAGGAAGGAGTGCTCATGTCTTTTCTGGGCATAGGTAGAGATCTTTCAGGAACTCTCCACTTTCATTAGTTACTGAAATAATATTATTGCCCATGACCAATAATATTGGTAGATAATATTGGTAGATAATATAATAATAATAATAATATTGGTAGATATCTTTAGAACAAAGACTGAGGCCACAAAGGAGACAGACAAAATAGGAAGATAGAGACGTTAGTATTTCATCTTATTCCAGTCATTTTCTCAGACATCTTCCGGTCGAAGTGAGGACATCAGTTTTTTTTCTGCAAAAGTAGCCATCATGACCTAGAAACTGTTAGCCCACACCTTAGCCCACACCCACGACGGGCTGTCTACAGGAAAATTTGTGAGACGCTGGTGATACATTGCCCAGCTGTGTGACATTTCAAAGGATTTGAAGCCAGAGGTTGTATTTAGGCATTTCCATGATTAAAAAAAAACAACCAGCAATTTCTCATGACTCATTACTTACATTCATTAGGAACCTCACAGTCTTGCCCTCTTATGTGATATTTGTCTGTAGTTCTTACTGACAGTGAACATCTTTTAGTTTCCCAAACACTTTTATAAACATGCTCCATACAAGACCAGAAACATTATCTTGCTATAATCTAAGACAGAAGACATTCTAAAGTTAGACAAGGCATAAAGGCAGGATTTGTTAATTGGAGAACTGATTTGAGGTTGGAAAATAAACCTTTGCTCAGAGCATTCTCAGTTACTATGTATTTCATAAAATAACCTCAAAGGCCACTGTCTGCTAAGAAAGCATATGTGATGCTCTCACAAATGAGAGTTCAGTAAAGAGTTTCTTAAGTCCCTACCTAAACCATGCTAAGTGGTTGTATCTCTTGAAAGCTTGGCTATGGTAGGGAATCTGTGCATTCATTTTTCCAAGTGAAGAGATTCTAAGCTCTCATTTGGACATAAAAATTTACATCCAGATCCCATAAAAGTACATTTTTTAAAAGCAAACTCTACTGTCTTGATATCCAGCTCTGACATAATCCCTGCTTGCTCTGAGCCTCAGTAGAACCTATGCCTAATGATGGCCAATGATTATCTAGATTGTGGCAGGACAATATGCAGCTGCTTGATCAGGTTAAGAAAAAATGGCCAAGGTTCCTCAATCCAGGGACTCTGAGCAATGCTACCTACAGTCTAAAACCCAGGAGAATCTCTGTAAACCCTGATTGGAAATGAAAGGACAGCCTCCAAGAGACATCACCAAGAGCATCTGGGTCACTGCCAGAGAGCATGGCATCTGCATGAATTGAGGAAAGTGCTTTTGGGGGCTGTCAGCTGAAGATGCAGCTACTTCCCTTCAGACCAACACTTGACTTCTAGAGCCACTCAATGGGGAAGATCCTGGCTACTTGAGAACTTGTTCAGCCAAGCCCTGGGTCTGTTTAGGGCAGTGGAAAGAAACTCCTTAAGTTGGCATATCAGCCTCTTTTTCATAAAACTGGAGGACAGTAGGGAGGACAGCAGCAGCAGCAGCAATGTCAGACAGTAGGGAGGTTGAAATCACAAAACTGATTTACGTAACTTGGTGTTTGTGGATTTTGTAATGATGTGCTGTACAGGCGAGGACCTCTCAAGTAGGTGAGGCCTCCTGAGAAGGTTATGAACAAGATCACAGGGAAATTCCAGTCTCTGTGCTCTCAGGAGCGGGGGGTCAATCTGCATGGAAGACCTGGGTGAGCATCTGTGCACTAAACATCCTGACATCTTTCCCTCCGCACCATCCTTATTCCTTGTACATTTGAGACACCAGTTCAGCTGTTCTGAAGACAACGTTTTAAGGAAAATGTCTTTATTTACACTGCAATCAATGTAAAGCCCCTCCCCATGTAAAACTCCCTCCCCATCAGCGTTCACTACACCCTCCCCCATTATCCCTACCCTACTCCTAATTCCCTCCCCTTCTTCTAGTAACCTCACCCCTGAATTAGAACTGAGTGAGGAAGATACTTTGTTGATGGGTTGCAGAATGCATTCTAGGTGAAATCTCATTCAGGCCCCAAATGGTTTCAGGGATTTTTCTTCTTTCTCTTCTTCTTCTGAAGTTCCGATGCCTCACGCTTTCTCTTCTGAGGCTTTGCAGGATGAATCAGCCCCAAAGGCAAGTCCTGCTTTGCAGACCCCTCAAAGTGAGACCCAGGGCAGGGATTCTTTGCTGGGGTGCATGAGTCTCCAATGCGAGCCTTTTTCTTGGACTTGGCAGGTGGAGGGGGATCCAGGCTGCGGCCCCTTCTCTTGCACAGTGAAGGCCCGGGGTCTTGGTGTCCAGAGGACAGGAGGGTGGTGGGGGACCTGGGGCTCTGAGATAGTCCCCAGGGCAGGAGACAGTACTCAGAGCCCAGCAAGGAAGCCAGGCTCGGGACACTTTCCTTGTCCACCTTCCTGTCCCCTGCTCGCTTGCGTGGAGTGCCAGCAGGAGACTCTTCCATGTGATTCACGGCATCTCCAGACCCCACTCTCTGGGGATGGGATCCATGTCCTCGGGGACAAGCAGTGGACAGGGTGGTTCCTACTGAAGGACACCCGTGACCCCCCTTGAGAGCAGCAGCAGAAGCAGCAGAAGCAGGTGTCAGGTGCTCTGCATCTGTGCCACCATGGCTCTGATCATCTCTGCAAACGATGTGCAGAGTGCTGGTATTTGCACTGACTGCTTGTTGTGGGCTCTGCTCATTTCTGTCTGCACCTTGGCAGATGGCCAACTCAGAAACACTTGAGGCTACTCTGGGTGCCCCAAGACGTTTCTCCACTATCTGTTGGAGGAAATACAGAGTTACTGGCTTTGCATCTGGCTGGGAAAGGCCCACAGTAGAGGGAACAACTTCAGGGTCACCTCTCTTAGTTGCAGACACACACACTTGTGCTCGTCAGCTCCCCATGGGTCTCTTTGCAGCTGTGCAAGCTCAGCCTCTCCCTGGCTCTCCTGGCTCCTTCCTTCTAGTCCACATCCACATCTACCATCAGGAATAACCTTCAAAGCCATGACTGCCCACAAGCCTAAGGCACTGCTCCTTCCTTTTGGTTGTGCGGCCTTTCTTCCCCTCCTGATCTACCTGCCTACAGTCTTTCCTGTGCCAACCTGCTTGGGGGTGAGTCCTTCTTCCTGTTCCAGCTCCCCAATTAGGGCCTCAAGATCCAGCTCTGGTTTGGAGGAAAGCAATTCTTCCAGGAATTTGGGATGAATGATGGCCTCCACCTGGAGCAGGAGGAAGAGGGTGTCAGTGTGTGTAGAAAAGAGAAATCTGTGCCAAGGGGACTTTGAGAACACAGGAAGGAATGACACACACACACACACACACACACACACACACACACACACACACACACACACACAGAAGTGGCAGAGAACAGGGCTGGAGTTGGAGCCCACATTTGAGATGAAATCCTCCTGGCAGCACAGCTGGTCAAGGAGGCTCAGGAGCTCTGGATCTGAGCACATGTCTTCCACATCCTGTTGTTCCATTCCCGCCTCTTTGGATGTTCCCCCAGAGTCCTGGGTGCACAATTGAGGAAGGCCCTCCAGCCAGTCCATGATGGCCATGTACTCCTCCATGGCTTCAGCTGGGATCTCCTCGGGTGCCTTGGTCTCTGGTGGCCTCTGACCTGTGGGTGCTGATGGCTTGGCAGGCTTAGCCTTGAGGCCAGTCTTGCTGGAGTTGCCCTCTAAGGGAGAGGAAACAAGACAAAGCAAGGATGGGAGAAGAGCTTCCACACGATGGCTGAGCAGCAGAGTTTAGTAGCGCTACACCAGCCCAAGACCAGCATAGACAATGGAGCCAGAAGAGACTGCAACATGTGGAATATATAAGACAGCCATGCAGTACCAAATTCTGAGACACTGACATTCTGGTGCTCTGCCCATCCCATTGCTGTTCCTGAGTAGGTGTTGTCCAAGGTGCTTGTGCTGAGAGGAGCTATAGACATGGCCCTATAATAACCAGTTCCATGCTAACTATTCCTCCAGAAACCTCAGGTTCTGGAGGGATGCTTTGTTTCCATTGCAAGAGGAGCTCCTCCATCGAAAACAGAAGCCCTGCGTGTGGGTAAACCCTTCGAGACCCCATCAGCCACTTCATGCCATGGACTCCAATAGAACATTGAGAGACGCTACCTGGCTGCTGGAGAATGTCCGGGGATGAGGGCCTTGGAGAATCTGGCTTCAGTGGGATGGCAGGAGGCGGGCCTTGGAAATGCATAATGCCCTGCAACTTTGAATTCTCTATCACCTCCATAGCCTCAAATTCCATGAACCTGGGAATGTAGGAGGCACAGGGTGAGCTGAGAGGGGGATGAGCCCCATGGGCGCTTCCCAGAAGAAGACATAGAAGGTGTGCAAGCAGTACTCTGAGGTTCTTGCCTAGGCGCAGAAGGTTGCTGATAAAGGATGAAAACAAGCTGTCAGTGCAGGAAGAAGTGACACTGTCCAAAAGAAGCGCACTCTTCACATGGTGCACATGACTGAATCACTCTGAATAACACATTTATAATAGCAATAAATAATATTTTTAAAAAACGCAAAGGTCAGGGAGACTTTAGATCGCCCAAGACTTGTGTGGAAAGATGTGACCCACGGAGGGCCTTCAGTGACCCATCTTCTGAGCCTATTCCATCCCTGCCACAACCGGGGAGGTGACTGACATAAGCTGATCAGGATGGTGATTGATGGAGAGAACAAAGTTGAAATTAAACCTTGGGTTCCTAGAGCAGGCATGGGCCCTAAAGTGTCATGAGCCACTGATACCTGGAGCAACTTTGCCTTTGCACAACTGCCCATGTTGGAAGGGACCAGTTGTTGGCTGATTTTCGCACCGGGTCTGACCCTCCGCTCCCTGGCAGGTGTGGACCAGGCATCAGTGAGGCAGGAGTTTGAGAGGGCCCCCAACTCAGAGCTCAACCCGCACCTCAGAGAGACTGTGCCACTGCCTGAAGAGAAAGCTGTCAGGAGAAGGGCATCTTCTGTGCATGTCCATGCCCTTCCTGGCAGTGTGAGTGATGAGCCCCACTGGGCCCAGACGTGCAGTCTCTGTCCTCCTCCACCACACAAACCCCAGCTCCAGGGCCCCTCACTCACTTGGCCGCCATCTCGTGAAAGTTCATGCGCTCGTAATTGCTAATGCCTTCCCACTCCTGAAGGCCTCTCCACAGGCCCTCGTCCAGGGACATGGTGGGCTTGAGCCGGGCCAGGGACCGAAGCACCGGGCTGCAATTCATCAGGATCAGTCACAGCCCACAGCCCACAGGTGACCCTCCATTCCCAGTGGACCTAAACCCTGTGCTCCTCACCCCTGCTGCCTACATGTCCAGCTCCCATGTGGGCTCTTATCTCCAGGTCACCCTTACGGACCACCGAAATCAGTAGCAAAGGCACTGCTGGCCTTCCCATGTTCCTGTGAGTGCTTTCCATTAGTGAACATTCTAGCCTGAAATACTCTGTTCTTCAGAATTGACATACTAAAGCCTTAATCCCCCGGTGATGCTATAGGGAGACAGGGCCCTGGGCCAGCCTAGCTTAGGTACACTCATGGAGATGGCATTCTTTGCCAGGACAGGACAGTGGCCTTGGAGAGACAAACATGAAGAGCAGCCAAAGCTATCTCTCAGCCCTGCATGACACACACAAGGCAGCCATGAGGAGAGCCATCTCCAGACATGGAATCTTCCATCCCAGAATCTGAGAATTCCATTCTCCAGACTGTGAGCAAGGAATGGTTTCAGTTTCCAGTTCCACAAGTATGGGTGAGGCCTGAACTGAGCGGCACATGCCCAGTATGGTCTTGAGCCGAAAGCCAAATTGTGGCTCCCTTCATAGCAGGTGATCTTTGGGAATGTGGGCCTTTCTACAGTGCTAATCCTTCTGGAAATGTAAAATGGCCACACTCACAGGGGTACCATGGTGCAAAGGGAAGGAGCTTTTCTTGCACCTGTGTGACACTCCTATGTCTGTGTGTGGTTTTTCTCTACAGGTGCGATCAACTTCAGGACTTCCCTGCCCTTGTGTGGATTCCCATGAAGGAGCCCCAGCAGGAGCTCCCTGTTCCCAGAGGAGACACTCACATGAAGAAGCAGGCAAGTGCTTCCCCATCAGGAGTCTGTGGAAGTTTATTCCGGATCAAGGCCTTCAATTGCTGCCAGCGCCGAAAGTTCTGATAGACACTGGGAGGTGGAGGCTTGGCCTGGGATGTGGGCCGACTGCCCTCCGCAAAGGGCCTCTGTGGCCACGGTGCCTGCTGGCTCACTGGGGGCCTGATTGGAGCCTCCTTGGAAACTGGTGGTGTTGATCCCAGGGGTGGGCCCCAGGTCAAGCTGTCTTGGGCAGCCTGTCTACATCCAGTCATGGGGACACTCACTAGAGCACTGCTGGCAGGACCAGGCAAGAGGAGTGGAGCTGGGCCCATGGAACCCACATCCCCTGGAGGGACATTCCAGATGAGAGGGGCCTGAGTGACAATTACTTTTGGAGTGTGGAGGGGCACTGCTGGCCTTCCTCCTGTCCCCATTTCCACAATGACATGGGAGGGGCCTGCCCCACTGGATTTGCAGCTTCCCCCTGACACCAGAGATGTGCTGGGGAAAGCAGGCAGCACCAGAGGGCTCCCCTGAGGAGGGAGTGCATCAGCCACTGTTGGAGGGGGACATGAAGGCTGCTTCCTCAATGACCCTTGTGCTGGTTCTGGGGCGGCTGTGTGGAAGGGCAGCTCTGTGAGAGGAGCTCTGGAAGCAACGGTGTTCAGGCTCAGGTTGGCTGAAGACACTGGTCTCGCTGCTGGAGAGAGAGCAGGGTTCATTGAAGAGGGACAGGGCACAGCAGAGGTGCTCCCTAGGACTTGGAAATTCGGAGGAGTAAGGAGGAAGGACAGCAAGTCAGGGCTTGCAGTGGGAAATAGTGTTTCACAGATGTCCCCACGTGAATGCCATGGTATGTCTCTTTGAGGATTAATCCTGCCAAGGACTTGCTCCTGTTCTACAACACTCCTGCACCTGTGTGCTGCGATTAACCCCTCAGATTCGTCTGCTTCTGTGGGGCGCCTTCAGGCATCCTAGGCAGACAACCCATGTCCCTGAAGGCCGTTCCCTGGAAAAGCGTTAATTTGCCCCTGTTTCGCAGCATGGTCCACTCAGCATGCTTGCTGTTGTGCAGGAGACCCTGTCCATCGGTATTGCTACCCCCCAGTCTTCTCTATGGAGGTATCATATTCAAAAGCTGCCCCTTTACCTCGTCAGCCTTCCTTTTCCTGATGCTCTACATAAACCTCTCCTTTTGTCTCTCACCCACCACCAGAAACAAAAGCTCTGAATGAAATCTCTCTCACCTAGTAGCTTGGGAAGTCTAGAGTTATCCTCATAACACAACCCACAACCGACTTCACATTAGCACCTTCCTGGATTAACAGTAAGGGAAGAGGCTTCTCACCAGGCCTTTCCTATGTAATTGCTTGTCCCTTCCTTCACAGAACCATTGGTGTGGCTGATATCTTGTCCTTGCACAGCCAGGCATGGCTGCAGAGGTCCAGAATGCTCAGGGAATGGGGAGTAGTGAGTCAATAACGGGAGAGTCTAGAGGTTTTCATAGTCACTTTGTCACATCAGAAATATGTCACTTCTATTTTGCCCTCAGTTCTATCATGGATTGGGTAACAGGGATCCAGGCATGAAGCAAATACACAGGGTCAACAGTGGTCTACAATGCAGCATGTTCTGAATGCCCTCATGTAGCCTCTGTGAAAGAAATTAGGTGCTCTGGTCCTACACCTAACCACCAGGTCACCTGCTGTAACTTGAATGACATGAGTAACAGGAGAATGTCCTCCCCACTCAGTGGTGCTCCCTCTGACCTCTTCAGAAAGACAACCCTAGAATCTACAAAAGGAAAGTCGGCAGCAGTCCATATCGGTTCCCTATTCATGAAATACCAGATGGAGGAGATGGGCCCAGCCTTCATGTCCACAGACAATTAAAGGGCAGAGATTGTTGACAAAACAGAAAATCGGAAGGCTTCTTTGTACCAAAGGGATGACAGTCCCCAAGTGTGTGCAACCCAAGTTGTGTGTCAGTTGAAGTGTCCAGGCTGCCCTGTCCCTTTGCAATGAATGGCATGAGTTACCTGGACTAACATAGAAGTCCCCTATGGATAGGAAGAGACCAGCAGGTCTGGCCTGTGGCCAGTGGAATGATCTGCAGCCTCGTCTAAGAGACCATATTCCTAGGGTCCTTATGATGACTCCCTTGGGAGCCATCTCCAAATTGTCATACTTTCCTGAGTCATCTAGATGATCTTGGGAAAGTTCAGTGCTATGCTGGTAAGCTACAGCTCAATAACTCAAGGTGGGAGCATGGTGGCAAACTGAAACTCCAGAAACCTTTCAGGGATAGCTGGGGGTTAGAGATTCTGGCCCTGCCCTTCAGGCTTACCTCCATCTGAAGGCATCCCCACAGGGTTGGACATCACCCACAGCTCTCTGGCAGCCTTCGAAGGCAGGAAAGTCAAGTGGAGAACCCAGAGAGCAACGTGGCTCCAGTTGCTTCTCAGGGTCCAACTACAACTGGGGAAAGTTTAAATGTAAATAGCAGTAGAATGTGGGGGTCAAGGCATTCTACAGTGGGGGAGGGGCAGAGACCCAGGAGGGCTGGGTGGGGAGTTGACAGACATTCCATTAAGGGCTGTGGCAGGTGGACCAGAACCTCAGTTCCCTTTAAATAATAATCCAGAGGCAAGATGACTGGTGGGTGCCCAGGCAACTTTAATATTCTCTCTCACATGCAGAGGCCAATGGTTTTGCTGATGTTTTCTTCCTTCATGTCTTCATCCATAAGCCTGGTTTTCTTTCCCTCATCCCACCCGATTTCCTTCTGCATAAGTAGATTCTTGAACCATTTCAATGGTTTCATTAGCTCGGTCTTTAAGCTCAGGTTTGCCAATGCATGTGTCTATTTGCATGTGTACATCATGTGTTTATATAATGTGTATGTATACATAATGTGTGTACATTGTCCATACCCACACATAATTCTGGCTAAAGATGATTTCAAATATGAAATATCCATGGTAGCCTCTAGACTTCATAGCCATAGAGAAGGCTGTGAGAAATAGGGAGGCAGAAAACCTACTCTCGCCCTATGGTAAAGGTGCTTCATATTTCTCTTTTCATTTTTATGCAAACATTAGAAATTCTCTATCCTTCTTTTGTCTGTGTAGTATGAGAAGATCCAAGCTTCCACCCACCGATCCCTAGTACTCATTCCTCTGTGTCCTCCACATGGTAGTGGGTGCTGTCCCCTGGGATCCTGGCCACACTGCTCACTGGATTCCCAATGGCTTGTCTCTATCACATCCACTTGTTCTTTTGAATCTGGTTTCTTTGTTGCATGGGTGATATTAATGACTTGCTGTCTTGTCTTGGGCATCAAGTTGTATTCTTTGTTGTTAGTTTTCACACTAAGATGATGGTAGAGCCACACAGATCCAGTAAGACACATAGGAGAAGCTTTTGTGTTTTGATCTTTAGCTGAGCTAGTGCTTCTCTCATCATCTTCTGTCCTGAAGTGCTGCTGGGACAGCTAACCACACCTTTCACAGCCATATGACTTCAGGGTACATATTTGATAGTCTCTGCAGCAGGGAATCATACATCTCTATTTCTAAATATGTTTTGTACTTGTCCTCCTATCATGTCTAGACAATGCCCATGTGTTCATACCATTGACACCTTTAAGGTTCAAATGATTTTGTGACCAGTTGCTGGTGACTTAGGCCTGTAGTCCAAACTAGTCAGGTGGCTGGTATGTCAGGATCAAAGTTCAAAGCAATCCAAGGCAGAATATCGGTAAGACTCTTATCTCAAATAAACTACTCCAAAAAGTGAGCCTTGGACAGTGTCTCATGTGGTAAAGGAAAAAGACACTCACAGACACTACCCAGGCCCTAAGTTCCAGTCCTATTTCTGGCAAATACAAAGGGGAAAACGACGATTTTTGTCCAAGTTTGGTTTAATGTGAGGGTCTGATAATATTTCATGTAGGTTCACCCAGGTTACAGATTTTTGTTTCCATAGAAGAGTAACTATGAATTGGAAGTGTGAGTTTGTGATAAAGTAGGGTTTTAAGACTTGTCTAGGAATCAGTTAAGCACCAATTGTGAGTATATCTGTAGAGTCATTGTTTTAACCAACTCTTAAAAATTTGGGTTCTCATTTTCATATTGTGACAATTGCAGTTCTTCAATGTCCAAATCACAGGAATTTTAATACTCATAGTTTATGCCAAGACCAAAAGACATTGCTAGAAAATGCACTACGAGATATAGGATGAGCATGAGGAAGAATCCCAAAGGAAAATGTCTGCTACATGATGGACTTCACTCCTTGCTGGCATCCTACAGATGGGAAGGGAAGAAAAGTCCAGAAGGACTGTTCCACTTTGTGACCTTTCTTGGAAACAGAACACTGTTGGCTGAGATATTTTGACCAAAATGGGTGTTGTATGAAGAGTGACAGGGGCCAGGCAGGAATGGAAGACAGAGCATCTCAAGTCCAACGCGGCCAGGTGTGTGTGTGGGGCGGGGAGGGGGGGTGATTCTCCCTGGTTTGGGACACTTGTGTGGCTCAATGTCTCAATGCTTCTGCAATATCCTTTTCCTACCACCTATATTTTTTTTGGGGTGGGGGTCTGGTCATGGGGCCTGAAATCTGGGTCTGGGTGCTGTCCCTCAGCTCTTCAGCTCAAGGCTAGCACTCTACCACTTGAGCCACAATGCCACTGCCAGCTTTTTTTATTTTTTGCTTATGTGGTGCTGGGGAATCAAACCCAGGGCCTCATGCATGCAAGGCAAGCACTCTACTACTGAGTGCATGGTAGTCACTTTTCCATCCTCCACCTATATTTCTGCATGGAACTGTGCATATTTCCATCAAACGCCTGCATGGTGTTTGGTCACAGTGGCAGGGGTGAGGACACACAGCGGCTACCCTCTGCCCCCTCTGCATACCTACGTGTAGGCTTCAGTTTTCTGTCCCATGGAATAATTGCTTTCTTGTATGTATCTACCTTTCTGCTCTGCTTGTCCGCTTCCCTGTTCAAGTTTCTCTAGACCGTACTTGGCGTAGAGATGTGCAGATGTAATGATATTATTTCAGCTATAACTGGTGAGATCACTGCATGGAGAGGCAAGGCCTTGTGCCATGTTGAGTGCCAGGAAGGAAACGCCAGTGACAATGCACTGGTGGAGAAGCATCACCGAGTTTCAGAAGACAGAGCCCCTCTGCCCTCTCAGAGGGGACTAGCGATAGTAAGAGGCTCTATTTTGTCCTTGGAGCTTTGCAGTGGGCATACCTTGCTGGGG